CCCCAAAACCCCAAAACCCCAAAACCCCAGGATGAATTCTCGAAATTGAAATGAATTAGCAACAATAAAATATAAATAAATTCCAACTAAATGCAACACGTTTAATAGAATTCATGGAGAAATTAGATATCAATCTTTGCACCAAAATCTAAATTAAACTGCAAACATTATTTTTAACTTTTAAAAAGCTTCTAGTTATTCCTCCAGAGGAAAGTTCTGTTCATCAATAGCACTGATGCGTGAGAGACCGTGAATAATCAATAGCTCATTTAATTTAGATACTGAGATCTTGCATTTCCTGACATTAATGGTCTTGAGAGAGTCCTTGAGAGAAGATTTCTTAATGGCAACTATAATCTTCTCGAATTTTTCAGAGTATTTGCTCCATTCTTCCGAACACCATTCATACCCTCTTCACTCATAAAAGCTAAGGTACTCAAGTTTAGATTGACTAGGAGTGGAGAAATCCAGAGAGTCTCAAGTATAAATTTTGCTATAACGAATAGTCAGCCTTTCAGTGTTCACACAAGACTTCACAATATGGTTCAGATCACTTCCGTTAACGATCAAGTTTTTCAAGTAAACCTCTTTGGTTACATTGACAAGCAGGTTTTGCAATCCTTCCTGGTAAAACTTTAGTTTCAGAGCATGGCTCCCGTTTGATCCAAGAAAGTTATAGTTTAATGAAAGTAGTCTGAGGGAGGATTGGCTACAGTTCTTGAAGAAGTTATTCAGAGTATGGTCTTCATTGAAAATACAATCAATCTCAAGCCTATTCATATCTCCAAAAGAGTATTTACACACTCCCATTGCTTTGGCCAAGTTCCTTGATTTGTTTTCACTCATGTCAAGTTTCAATTCTTTCGTTTCAGGGTTAAAGTCTGAATGTATATTTTTGTAGAGACCTTGGATTACTCCTTTGGCTTCTTCAAGCTCAGATTCGCTTTGTTTCAGTTCTATAAATGAGGTTTTAGCCTAGGCTTACCCTCGTAAATTTTGGCTATCTCTTTCTGATCTTCATCATGCTGGCTCTTAGATGCCTTAATCTCTTCTAGTTTTACCCTCAAGTCTTCCTCAAGCTGGGTTTTGATGTCTTTGAGATCTTTATTCTCGGTTTGTAGGAGGTCTTTTTCTGTTGAAATTTCTTCAGAATTTTTAATTGCTTGCTGTGTGATATCTTCATGTTCCTTAATCTTAATATCTTTAGTAGCATTCTGGTTTTCTAGATTCTGGATCTTGTCTTTGAACTCTTCAGTAAGTCTGGCTTTGCACTTTAACTCGATCTGTCTTGATTTGGAAAGGAGTTTCTTCTCCATCAGCTTGTCATTCTGCTGGATCACAGCATCTATCTTCTTTCTGACCTTGGTGGCAGATGAGAAGTCTAAGATTGATAAGAAAGAGCTTACTGTCACAGATTTTGGGCAGATTGTACAAGCTTGTATTTCTGGATTCTGACAAGTACAAAATATCTTTGACTACTTCACTTTTATCCATCTGGATTTGGATTCTAAACATATCAGTAAGTTTAAGCTAAACACTCAAAGATATGAAGATGCCAATTTAAGAAGTGGAGGAAAAACTTACTGTTTGACCTGGGATTGAAGAATATCAAATAACATATGATGCTCATGAGTAATAGCATCTCTTATTTTCTTCTCAATCTCAACTACACTATCCTGAAAATTTTTAAGTTCACTTTCGATATGAGGGTTGTATGCTCCCAGCCCATTCTGGATTGTAAGTTCGAATAATCTCTTCACAAATCTTTTTACCTCAACCACATCAGTATTGATATCAGAAAGATCTTGAATGATGACGACTTCACACTTGAAATGCATTTTGCTAGTACAGCTTCTTCAAGCGTACATTTGGTGGGTTCTGCAGAAATACACTCCATGTCTTTTGCATGCAAGGTCGCCTCACTTAAACATATTTAAAAACAATATAAATAATTAAAAACGTGTTTCAACTCAAATTCATCCATCTGGGGTTTTGGGGTTTTGGGGTTTTGGGG